ATTTTTCACGTACGATGCTTACAAACTCAAGCATCTCTGAAGAAGAATCGTAGTGTTGAGAAGGATCCAGTAAGATTTAGAGTTAAAGTGACGGTCAAATTGGGGCTTGACTTCAAAACTTTTTTATAGGCAATAGACAACATAGATTGGTTCACGTCAAATTTTGGTAATTTTTCGGATCTGTTTGATAATTTTAATTTATTAACTGCAATTATAGAATTTTAATTGATATAAATTTAATTTGAGCTATAACTGCATGAAATAATGGAATAATATTCGTAGAAAAATCAAATATGCATTGTTGAGTGAATTTGACAAGGTATTTTCAAATTACATCGTAACAAATTTAGTAAAACATGTAATGAAGGAGAATAGGTGGGCATGAAATATCAATTTATTTTGCCGACTGTTAACTGTACGACACTCAGCAAACAATATAGTTGCCGAGTGTCATATAGTGGAAACTCGGCAACATACCCAAGCCGGCCCCACTTACCAGTACCGTACCGGTTGTAAATTGAAAAAAAACAATGCCGAGTGCCCGCAATCTAGCACTCGGCATACCTATACTTTGCCGAGTGCCAAATCTCGAGCACTCGGCAAAGCCCTTTGGTTTTTACCCTATCCAGCCGCACACTTACTCACACACACTCACCCGCACACACACGCACACCGCGCCGCGCCGTCGGAACACCCTCCACGCCGTCGGACCACCACCTCCCACCCCGCGCCGCCGGACTACCCTCCACCGCCGGGCCGCCACCCCCCGCCGCCGGGCGGCCACCCCCCGCCTCCGGGGCCCCGCCTTCCCATGCCGCCGCCGGTGGCCCCCGCCATCCCGGCACGCTGGCCCCTCCCGCCGCCGCACGGCGGCCCAGCCACCCGGCGCCCCTGCCTCCTAGCGGCCGTCGTCGAGTTGTCCACCTCGCTTTGGCCGCCCCTCTGGGTAGCCCCCAGCACCGGCGCCCTCCCCAGGTCCAAAGAGCCCCTCCTCCCCCCCCCAATTTCCATTCCATTTCTAATGTCAATTTTCTGTTAAATTATGTAATGTTGAAACCAATTTCCTGTTGTCGATGATTTGTTTGCTAGTAAACCAAGATAAAAGGATTTGACTACATTTTTACAGAATGTGAATTGCTTTCAGGGTATAAACAGGCCTTAAGATAGAATTTAGAATTAGGCTTCCTAATTTACTCCAATTAATTAAACTTGTTCACATTGCAACTTCTAATCTGCACATTCAGTGTACTAATTTGCAGTTGATAAGACAAACCAATTTCTTATGCTGTAATGTTTCCCTTACCCATTTTTGGTAGTGATAGCCAATCATTTTCTCCCATTTTTGGTAGTGTACTCATTGTTGCTAAACAAAATAGTTTAGAAAAAATGGGGTTAAAATTGATGCCTTTGCTAAACAAAAGTTGAGCAAGAAAGTGTTGCCTAATTCTGAGCTTTGGTTAACAGGCGTCTTTTTTAGCATGTATACTTTCTTGCTCAGCTTTTTTGTAAACTGTTGATGCCCAAAGCCAGAATATTTTGTTGCTCAGCTTTCTTCCTCATGCTTGACTGTTAGTTTCTTTTAGGTACAGCCTTGTCTTGCTACGGCTGAAATTAACTCTCCCAGATAAAGTCCTTCCTTGGACTATTGTTAGAATGGTTGGGGTTTGTACTTGTCTAATGTACTGGATATGCACTTCCAAGATTGATTTAATTTCAGCAGACAAGTGACATGGCAATAATTATAAAATATTTGATGTTGAGACATGATGAAACTGAGACTTAGCAAGCGTAATTATTTTATAATTTGTTGGCATGTGATTGATTGCTAGAGAGTCATAGTAGTTATCCCAAAACCTATGTGGTTACCCAACGGTAATAATCTAGAGGAGAAGGGTTGACATACTGCCACTAGTAACCATTAGCTGTCAAGCTACCTAGGAGATAAGGCACAAGAACCATGCTAGCTAGCTCTTGCAATCTCCATATGTCGAAATTGTTAAAACTAGACACACACATACAAGCAACATCACTTCAGCAAACAGTGATGTTGTACTATTAACTTGAGCATATTTCCATGCCAATGATTGCCATTCTTTTAATGATCTCGCTATACACTTACTGACCCGGTATATTTGGCTCTCTATTATCTTCAACTTGTAGGTTTTTGCCGCCGCTCCCTGCCCCGCCCTGCCACCTGGTTCCGCCTTGCCCTCCCGCCACCCCACAACTTGCCGTCATTTTGCAAGGTATAAGATGTGTATGTGGTTGTCGGCCATCGTGCCATTTGTTGCCGAGTGTATGTGGTTGTCGGCCATTGTACCATTTTATTTGTTGCAGGTTTTGGAAAACCCCCCTGTGGAGGGGAGGTGCTGCCAAAATTTAGATTTGACACTATTATGTTCCTTTTATTGCAGGAGAGGCTATTGCAACGTCCTCGACTCGTCACTTTGCAGGACAGCAAGGTGAGGCATAAAAGACCCTTCTTTTCGTATCATGTTCGTATATCACGTAACCTAGCTAGGCATCTCCCGTTCGAAAGAGATACGGTTTATTATGAATTGAGAGGGGTCCGTTATCCGTGACAGATTAGTAAAAAAAGGGGGGATTGGTCGCTTTGCCGAGTGTAACACTCGGCAAAGAGAGGCATTGCCGAGTGTCAAGACAAAACACTCGGCGAAGAGGCCAATTTCTGTTATTCCGGGAACCTTCTTTGCCGAGTGTTTTGGCTTTGCCGAGTGTATTCTAATGGACACTCGGCAAAGTGACCATAAAATATGGGCGTTGCGCACTTGTTTACTGAGTGTATTGGGTGTGACACTCGGCAAAGTGTCTAAACTTTGCCATGTGTTTTGGGCTTGACACTCGGCAAAGTTTAGAAATGTTGCCGAGTGTTTTGGGCTTGACAGCCGAGTGTGTTTCCGTCGTGCACTCGGCAAAACCGCCGTCACTGTGCCATCCCGTTAACCTTTTTTTGCCAAGAGTTTATTTTTATCGAGTGTTTATCGACACTCGGCAAAAGTCTTTGCCGAGTGCCCGATGATTGACACTCAGCAAAGAGCTCTTTGCTGTTAAAATGTACGCCGTGTGTTCTTTGCCGAGTGTTATACTTGACAAAGTCTTTGCCGAGTATTTTAGGGCTTTGCCGAGTGCCCCTAGCACTCGGCAAATCTACTGTATCCCATAGTGAATATGGGCTTAGCCCATATTTTATTTAATTAAATCAAATAAATCCTAGGCTCATATTATATGCTACGATGCATGAATTGCTTTGACCACTTAAGCCAATTATGGGCAGGAGTTTCTATTCCTAAGTGTGAGCGGGAGTTACAAGAGTTTCTATTCCTAAATGAGAGAGTTACAAGAGTTTCTGCTCCAAATGGCAAGAGTTACGGAAGTTTCTACTCCTAATAGCGAGAGTTACGGGAGTTTCCGCTCATTATGACGGAAGTTTCTTTCCTGAGCGTCTCTTCCACTCCATACTCTTGATCACTTGTGCCCCCACTCGGCTTCCTGGCTACGTGATAAAAGCACGACACGCTTTAACATTCAGACGAGCTCTAGTCTCTCTCGTACACGTACCTCATCAGTCTCTGCCGAGTTGCCTTAGAGCTTTCCCGTCCCAATTCTCTACGCGCACGAAGAGTTGGGAGAACAGGCCTCCAGAACCGCCGTTCGTCAAGCGACACCTGCTCGGGTGTGCGGGCGATTAGGTTTTTGGGGAGCGTCTCCACGACTGCTCGCTTCTTCAAATCATCTTTGTCTTCTTCCTAGTGGCCATCGACATCGTCTTCTTCTTCTTCGTCTTCGGGATCGTCATCTTGTTCCTGGTGGACGTTCGAGGGACGGCACTGCGAACGCCTTCCTGCATCAACTGTGGTCCGCGACTTCAAGCAACACACTATGGCGACTAGTGCGATTAGAGCCACCGGTGCCTTGAGCATGGGTCCCTTCGCAGGGTATAATCCAATCCTTGATGTTGTTAAATTCAATATCAGTTTTTTCGCTATGATCAGTATGTTGTGACTAATCCGGTTTTGTGATGATATCTCATTTGCTGTGAGCAAACCAAGCCGGTTTTATGACTAATCTGGGAGATAATCATTGGCGTGCTCTTGAGAGAGTAATGCGCTACCTGAAAGGTACTGTGGGCTATGGCACTCACTATACCGGGTACCTAAAGGTACTAGAGGGTTATTGTGATGCGAACTGGATATCTGATGCTGAAGAGGTTCATGCCACGAGTGGATATGTGTTTCTGCTTGGAGGTGGCACTATTTCATGAAAGTCTTGCAAGCAGACCATCTTAACGAGGTCAACCATGGAAGCAGAACTCACAACATTAGGCACCGCCGGCGTTGAGGCTGAGTGGCTTCGTGAACTCCTAATGGATTTACCGGTAGTACAAAAACCTATACCGGATATTTCTATGAATTGTGATAACTAGACTATGATAATCAAGGTAAACAGTTCTAAGGATAACATGAAGTCCACAAGGCCTGTTAAGAGGCGGCTAAAATTTGTTAGAAAATTGAGAAACTCCGGAGTAATAGCGTTGGACTATGTCCATACGTCTAAAAATTTGACAGATCAATTCACTAAGGGACTATCACATAATGTGATAGATGGTGCATCGAGTGAGATGGGCCTGAGACCCACATGAAGTCTACTATGATGGTAACATGTTCTATGTGATCAGAGATCCTGTGAAGTAGGACAATGAAACAAGGGGGGTAGACTGTGAGGAAAGACCCTTAACTTGGCCCATGTTAGATGCACGTCTTTCCTATGATGTAAGGCAGGTTGGTTTTTACCTTAATGTGTTTCAAGTGGCTTGCTGAAGCAAAGATATTGTGCTACAGAACATCTTTTGAGGTACGCACCTATATGAGTCCAACTGCTCCTCACAATCTATGAGAAATTTTGCTTTATCTATATGTGAAGAAAACAATATTGGAAACTTTGAAAGAAATGTGTTAATATCTTTGTTTATACCATTTCAGGACCAAGTGAAAAAGTGGAGTAAGGATGCATATGAATGTATGGACTATCATCAACATGATTATGAAATGTATAATAGACAACCAAGAGCAATTAACTCCACTACTCTCCAGGGATCAATCATGTCACCAACTAAGCCTACTGGCCAAGATCTATTACACTCTATATTTTTTATTTGTGCGGAGATGGCTTATTGATTTATTGTAAAGTAGGGATCTTTATTGTCCTTCCAGGTCAAATTATTCATGAAACTGATGAACAAGATACTTCAGAGGTGAACCGAGTTTTTGGTGTATGCTCCCAGCAGTTTCCACTCCAGAGGATTGGGTCCAGGAGAGTAAGGGCGTTACCTTGTGCACAAGAAAACAATGAAACTGTAAGTAATATCCCTATTATTTTATACTGCATTAAATCGTAGAAAATTTCTTATACCTGGACTGAAATAGACATGGCCACAATTCAGAATTTTTGGAATATATATTTTTTCTAGTGCGTCTCATGAGGACTAATGCGGAACCTTTGTTGGAGATCTCCAATTAGTATCATTAATATTTTTCTGCATGACAACTGTAAAAAAGGAAAAGATAAACCGAACAGTGACGTACATAACATGAAACAAAAACAAGTGCAGATAGTTGGACAAGCATAGAACTTTCCCTTAATATTACGAATCATTGTGGAGTACATTATTTAAGTTAACAATGACGGTTTTATAACCATTCATCATGTTGGACCGTCAATGATCTGACTGTGTCCTTACACTATCATGCCTTGGGTTGTTTAATGACATATATAGAATACCGAGACCAATACCACATGAAAAGACATCAATATAATCTATTTTGCTATCTATCCCTATATCTTTTCTTCTCTATATCTATCCCTATCTTTTCTCTTTGTCTATCACAATCTCTATAATCTCTGTTTCTTCTTTATATCTCTATCTTTTCTTCGGTATATGTCTATCTCCATCTCTATATTTTCTCATTCTCTATCACTATCTCTATCTCTATTAATTTCTTCTTTTTATTCTCTTTCTCTATCTCTAACTTCATCTCTACTTTAAATCGGAGCTATATTTTGATCTAGTGAATCTCAAGATCTGACAACAGCCACCGCATGAACCTCACCTTGGCCCACCGGGCTAGAGCTACGGGCCGTCCACTCGACCAACACAGCGCTAACACCTAGGTCAAAGGGAGGTCCTTGGAGATGCTATCTGCAACCTCCTCTCGCAGGTTTTAACCACAGGATCAAGTTGCAGATTATCCCACTGCGAACCAACCATCAAGAATTACATAACTTGGAGGAGATCATACACCATTTTTTTATTTGAGATCATTTTGTAGCTACCTGAAATATTCAATACAAGATCACTAAATGTTGATACAAATAAATACCATATATATTAGGGAAATTATTTCCTACTCCCATGGTGTAGTTACTCCCATGTGTATATCTTTAGATTTATGGTGTATATGGCCCGATGAAGTGTGTATCGACGAAGTATATGATCATACTAGACCATCTAGGGTAGTATGTATGCCAAGTATGCATGTATACATAGAATACATGATTATACTTATTTTGTATACTACTGTAATAGTATTATAATAATATATTAGGAAAATGGGTTCTTTTGAAAAAAAATTCACGTAGTAAGATCTTTGTATCTTAAAATGAGTATATAAACATACTCAAACTGATAAATAAGTAGTATGTACAAATATGCAATGTGGTTTATTGAAGATGGGAGTAACTACTCCTGGGAATAGGAAAAATACACCCTATATATTATATTAGGGGCATGTTTAGTTTCCCATTTTGGCTAAAACTTTTGTTGTTTTATCCTATCTTTTGGTAAAATGGATCTAAACATTATAGCAAAAACAGTAAAACTTGGGCTGCAAAAAGCCCGTGGGTTATTCCTTGTATTGTCCCTGCATCTTCTGATGCTTTTCCTCCCTATGTATGCTTCCATCCTTTAACTTCTTGCCTCCAACGATGAGGAGTTGCGGATCTGATCCTTTATGTTATCCCACCTCAGGGCTCAGACGCGTGAAGATAAGAGGAAGGGGCTCAAAAACCAGGACCAGCCAATAGCCTGATCGGGTCTAGTCGTCTAGAGGTTATTGTTGTCAACTTGTCATACAACGCGTTAATCCATCTCATCTGAACCACGAACGCGCAAATGATATATACAATGTGTATACGTGTTGAACCGCGTTGATGGCATACTACACTTCATTCTTGGGGTCATGGCCGTCGTCTCTACTGTTCCTCCTCATCACTTATTTATGCCTTTAGATGCTATGCAATGCACCCCTGAAACTCCCTGAAAGATTTTGTTGTCTGTTTTCGGTGTATCAAACTTATCACGTGAAATATTTAGGGCCCGTTTGCTTTGAATCAAGCTAAGGCAGATTTGCCTGGTTCTCCATACATTTCCAGGCATTGGATGTTGTGAGCCTGCAGGGATGGAGATTGCTGCTTGACAGGGCTTAAAGCAAACAAGCCCTTAATATTTAATTTTGCTAGTTTTCATCAAGTGCAGTGGAATACTAGAACCTTATACGACATGACTAACTGACGACGAACCTTATTATACATCTTTGTGATGGCCAATCGAGACCCTTGGACCTTGGTTATAAAGTCCACCCCATTGCCGTGCTCACATCCATACACGTTTTGCGGAGGACGGCTTCCAATTCCAAGTCGTCGCCCGGCCGGCCTCCTTTTTCTTTTCTGCACTGCAGGTCCACCGCGTAAAACTGGCGCACTACCTCTCAAGCCCAAACGGTGGCAAAAGAAGAAAAAAAAGGCGCTCGGGAACCCTCGATCAGGTGTTCAGCGTGCTTATTATACGCAGTAATATTATACTACTATTACTTTGGAGCCTTCGTGTTAATTTTCATAAGACGAGTTATGAAAAAGAATTCTAGAAATTCTCAAACATCTGGCCATCAGTTTAATTGGATATAATTGTCTTTGATAACTACTAGTTTACTGACATGTGCAATTGTCGTTTTCTAATACGTCAATCAATTTCAAATTTAACCAAACTTACATAACTTGATATAGAATGTATTACTAACATTGTCCAAAAAAGATACAATTTCGGGTTTACATTGAATCAAATTTGTTCAAGATTGACTAAGTTTATAAAAAAATATTATTAATATTTATGACTTGATTTTTTTTCTCGAATACGCAAAAAATTTGTGTATCATTCTAATTAAGAAGAAGAGTTTAACCATACAAACGACGCACTCTGACGAGCGGCCTAGGAGGTCTACTTGACCATCCTAGTGTACAAATTCAAATTTCGATATTACATAAATGATACACAACCGAGTTGTTGTCTACGCGCTCCTACTCCGTCATGCGAGAAGAGCACGCCGGTGTACGAGCGGCACTTCTACTAGCCCTATTGTTGGTCGCTGGAAACAACTTATCCAGAGCTGCAACTTGGCTCGACGTCAAGTTCCCTATGAAGATGGCGTCTTGGACGCGGATGAAGTTGGTATCACCTATGACAGGGTGCCCATCCTTTGCATGAGGAGTACCTCGCCACGCTTGGAGGTTGGTATGTGCGCCAGCGGTTGAGCGGCAATCCGTCTGCTCCTGGTTGGCAGGGGCCTTTTGGTTGTCGCCTTCTGCCTTGGTGGAGTGACGATTAAGGGTGACCTTCGCTTGAGCTGCACCTCCTCGGTAAACCGTGTGAGGCGCCAAGCGGCCTCATGCGGCGTGGGCGTCGCGTCGCTGTCCGCTTGGCCGTCCTTCGTCGGCGTAGAAGGGTCGGGTGTGGCTTGGCCGTCCGAATGGCCGTCCTGCATCGGTGTAGAAGTACCCGGCTCAAACCCAGGTGGCCAGACCTCACCATCCTCCTCTGGCGCCTCAGCACCCACGACAACGGGTGTCCCATCTGTGGAGGCGTGCCCTGCACAGAGGACAACGGAGACGAGTTCGTCATGCACCGAGGAGTCGTCGCCACAGGACGAGTCTCCACCAACCAAGCTTGAACCTCCAGAGAGGTGGTTGTCGTAGCCTGCAGGCACTCAGATGCTGGTGTGACCGCTTGTCGGCTCGCGACGAGCGAGGCGGCAAGCTCGTCCTGCATCGGGTCAACCGAGGCGACCCAAGCGGGAGGCCTGCGCCAAGATAGCCGCCCCGCCACCGATCCGCTCAAGGAAACAAAGGCGCGGTCGAGGCAGTGGCATCGTCGGCATTGCCGGCAGGCGCTCCCATGTTGATGTCCGGTGCCGTCTCACCCTTGCGTCGCCGGCGTTGTCTTCGGCTTGGATGGATGTCGTCGGCACGCCCCGCGGCACCTGCACGGTCCCCTCCGAGGTCAGTGGACTACCGAGGGGTGCGTGCTTGGTGGCCAATGGGTTGTCGGCACGAGCTTGGCGGCGAGGTAGGCCACCCTATCGGTGCCGACTTGGACCGCTTGCGGTCCCTGGCGAGGTGGCTGAATCCGCGGCAGCGCAGGCAACGTCGTGGCAACCGACAAGTCGCTACTTGGTGTAAGTAGAAGAGGCAGTTGAAGCATCTATCGCGAAGCTGCGTGGGAATATTTATGACTCTGTCATTATGAAAATATATTTTTTGATTAATCTAATGATAAGTTTTTAATATTCATTTAACTTCTTGACAGATACGAGAACGACACTTTCTCTAGGACGGTCGAGTACTTAGAATTATAACTTTCTTTTTCTTTTACCTGGAAGCACACGCAATTTCCTGACCATGACCAAACACCAGCAAAAGCAGAATGTTGCCTCGACTCTCGAGGCGCGCCATCCCATGGCAACTGGACACGTACGGAGCATGCACACCGAGATCAGTTCAGTCCAGTGGGCTGTGGGCCGCCACCATGCTACTCGTCGCCTTCGCGTTAGAGCCGCGTGGATTACGCGCGCCAAATTTGTCCGGCGTGCGCTAGCTCTGCGTCCTTGCCATCTTGTCTCGTCCTCATATGTTTTTTCTCTTTGCTTGTACGTTTGTGACGGCTATTAGTTGATCCTAAATACTATGGCAATGAAGTTACATCGCGACGATTTTTAGTTTGTCTTAAGACAACGAAACAGCTTCATCGTATATGTTTGCATTTGTTATCCAGTTTTCCTGTACTTCAGTCAGCTGAAATTTGTGTTTGTTGTTCAGGCGTGTTTTTTCGATGAATTTTAATACGATGTTCACGTAGTATATATGTGATGTTCTATGATGTATTTTGTGATGTTCACGTATACATCTGACGATCGCTTGAATTTGTGTTTGCTGTTTAGGCGACGTGTGTGATGTTTATATGTAGTGTACTTGTAATATTCTATGATGTATTTTGTGATGTTCGCATAGTATACACGTGATGTTCTATGGCTGTCACCCAAAAAAAGATTATATTTCATGCACCTAAAATATAGCAAATCCCTTTGTTATTTCCGTTATAAATTATAAGACGTTTTGACTTTTCTATATATATTGTTTTACCTATCTATCTAGATGTAGTGAAATTGCAGCCAACTACTTTACATTGTTTTTAGCCCCAACTAGTGATTAACTATGTGTATATGTGTCCAAATATGTCCTAAGTATATTATAAAATCTATGTAACCAAAATATCAAAATAATTTGGTAACAGAGAGGACTTGTCTCTCGACAAAGGTGGCTGAGTTCTAATCTAATTTATCTACACGAGTGCAGGACGGAGAGTCCTACCACTGCCGAACTAAACGAAGTGCATGAACTTTCGCACAAATTTAGCTTACGCTGATTTGACACGAAAAGCGCTGCAATACACTCCTCTCAGCACGCGCATAACGGCATAAGTACGTGGGCAGTGGGCAGTGGCCGCCCCAGTCACCGGCCCACCGCAAGCAGCAGCAGGCAGCACACTCGCAACGGTGACGCGTAGAGGTGAGGGGCGTAGCGCCGGCGCTGAAGCAGTAGATTGTTTCGTCTGATATGCCGCGCAAGCGACAGAAGCGGGGGTGGGAGGGCGGAGACGGAGGCCGCGACGGCGACGATGACAGAGAGGAAGGCAGCGTACCAGGCAGCGGAGGAGGCTCACCGCCGCAGCCGGCCGCTTCCTCCTCCGCGCAGGCGCTGAAGCGGCTGTACCGCTTGCCGTCCGACCTGTGAGTATCGTTGACTTTCATGCTTCGATCTTGACACAAACACTTGCAGTATTTGTTCTTTTCCCAACGTTTGGTCCCCCAAATGAAAAGCTAATTCGCTGCTGCCGGAGTGCCGGAAATGTAATTTGCAGTGGGATTAGGGGCTGTAGTTGCAGTTGCAGCCATCAACAGGGACAGGGGCTCCCCACTGGCTGTGCCTGTGTGCAAGCGGTCAAGACAAGAATCAACGCTGCTATTAGCCGGGTAATGTAAAAATAAAACTGATATATATAGGTTTATTTATTGAGTTTTTTCTTTTATGTCACAGTATAATGTTTGTTCAAGTGGTGTTTTGTAATTTAGCATGTCAATCATCCAAAATGTCAAAGGATTGGGGACAGAGTCTCAACTTGTCGGTTGAATACTGATGCTGATAATAATGCCCCCACTAATTGACAGCCATCTTTGTTTCATTTCATTTCGTATCATCCATCTTTCTATTGCATTGTAAAGTAAATTAGCATTCACATATCTATATTAATATAGATAATGAACATAACTGTGTCAGCAATACTGACCCCCTTCTTTTTTTCCTGTTCCTCCTTCATTTAATAGTTTATGGAAGAGGTGGCACAAGTACTTACAAGCCCCTGGAACCTTTCTCCTAATCCACAGTAAGTTTTGCGTTCCAAGTTTTTGCAGCCTGCATGGTTACATTCATGATCTGCTTCTGCATCTCACTTGCAATGTCTACGCAGAGAGAGAATTGAACAGAACCTGCCTCCAACCTACAAACTCACCTTCGTGAATTCCATGAGCGACAAAAATTTTACAAAGAGGGAGGTCCGGGCAGCGGGTGGGGGTCACCTCATGATAAAATTGGCTGTAAGCAATCAGCAAGGTAGCAACTTTCCCCAGCTTCTCTCGGCCAATGTCAAGGTTTTGGTTCTGGATGGTGACTTCAATGCGGACAATCGTGAGTGCTGGACATCCGAGGAGTTTGAACACCATATAATGATCCCACGGGACAAAATTGGGGCGGTGCTTACAGGGAAGCTGAAATTGAAACTGAAAAATGGTGAGGCCTACCTCGAAAACATTATTTTTGTTGATAACTCCAAGTTCACAAGGAGTGGCAAGTTTAGGCTTGGGGTAATGCTTATTGATAATCATGGTGAAAGAGTTCAAGAAGCTATAACTGAACCTTTCACAGTGAAGGACCGCCGAGGGGAAGGTAATCCTGAAATTGAGTTTGGACTATTTTACCTTCAGTTTTGTGCTATTGGAAGTCAAAACATTTACTGATTAGTTTAAACATTTCTTATATCTGTAGGATACAAAAAATGTGATATTCCAACACTGGATGATGAAGTATGGCACCTGGACAAGATTGCAAAAAAGGGTCCCTTCTGTAAGTCATTGGAGCAGAGAGGCATTACTTTGGTGAAGCACTTCCTGAGGCTGTATTATATGGATGAGAAAACACTGCGCAATGTAAGAGTAAAATTATGTTTGTATCTTTTTTCTTGGTCAGATCTTGAATTCTTGATGATCATTGTCACCTTCTTGCTTCTAGATTCTCAGCAGTGCCTCAGATGCATTCTGGAAAAAGGTGGTTAATCATGCTAAGAAGTGTGATCCTGGCACAGCCCTTTACTCTCACTTCAAGGAAGACAAGAAAATTAGGCTGTACTTCACTTGTGTAGGTCAGATTGTAGGAGCAACAATAGCTGACCAGTATCATGTTTATGATGATCTTGATACAATTTGGAAGGTATTTTTCTGATGCTCACAGCTATATCAACTACCAAAAGAAATGGGAAGTTGGGGATAAGAAATTTTGCTTTATCTATATGTGAAGAAAACAATATTGGAAACTTTGAACGAAATGTGTTAATATCTTTGTTTATACCATTTCAGGACCAAGTGAAAAAGTGGAGTAAGGATGCATATGAATGTATGGACTATCATCGACATGATTATGAAATGTATAATAGACAACCAAGAGCAATTAACTCCACTACTCTCCAGGGATCAATCATGTCACCAACTAAGCCTACTGGTCAAGATCTATTACACTCTATATTTTTTATTTGTGCGGAGATGGCTTATTGATTTATTCTAAAGTAGGGATCTTTATTGTCCTTCCAGGTCAAATTATTCATGAAACTGATGAACAAGATACTTCAGAGGTGAACCGAGTTTTTGGTGTATGCTCCCAGCAGTTTCCACTCCAGAGGATTGGGTCCAGGAGAGTAAGGGCGTTACCTTGTGCACAAGAAAACAATGAAACTGTAAGTAATATCCCTATTATTTTATACTGCATTAAATCGTAGAAAATTTCTTATACCTGGACTGAAATAGACATGGCCACAATTCAGAATAAACAAATGTTTGGTAGTTCTTTTAATTATATTTTAAATGCATTTAGAAACCAACAAATGCTTTGCAATCATTCTGATTTCCTTTTTAAGCATTATTTGAAACATTTAATACAATCAATATGCACTCTTTTTAGGATCTAAATTTCTGGTTGCTCCTATTGGATCCATCTCTCTGAAATCACTGACTGAAACACACTTTCACAAGGTTCATCTTTTGGCATTGCCGGGCAGCTGGATTCTGATGATGAAATCCAGCATGAAACTTCAGACCTAAATTGTATTACAGGTTCAGTGACACTCGAACCAGCTAGTGCAGCAAATGAAATAGGACCAATAGCCCTACTCAATTAATTGCATGCTATCATTCTTTTTTTTCACTAAAGAAAAAAGTGGAAAGCAGTACACCAAATAGTGTCCCTTTTGCAGATTATCCAGTTTGCTATACAGAGCAGGGGGGACCTTCTCAGTGCCCATTTCCTCCCTCTCTAACCGTTCCAGCTGATTGTCCTGGTTTCTCATTGCAACATAGCTTCAGCGAGAGTGACCTCCACGAGATAATGAAGATGTTGGAGCCAGATGAGCCACACGAAGAACTTCTCATCAATAAGATCTCTCAGTTTTCCACTGCCAATTTGAGCGACATGCCAGCTGATGTTCGCTGCTTCATGGTGAAGCTGCTCTCCTTCCCCTGGTGGTTAAAATTGGCTGCTCCTGTGAAGTGGATGGTTATAATGTCTTCATCTAAGAAAATAAGGGCTGCAAAGGGCAAGGCTCATGCTTGAGCAAAAGATTGATGATATTTTGTCCTTTGTATATGGAGACTGAATTGTATTCAATTTTTAATCTGTATTAATATGTGGTACTATATGTATAGTGTTAACTTCATATGCGTGATGTACTTTTTTTTTGAAATCGTGCATAGCACGTGCTTCATTAATGGGAGATAGATGTTTTAGTACATCTCGACCTAACGATGGCGAGGTGCCGTGTTTTTGTACGAGGAACACACAACACAAATCACCGGCTTGAACGGTGCTGCCACTACTTTGTACTAACTAAGTAAACTTCCTTTTGCGACAAGCGATATATAGCGAGGTCAAACCCCTATGGCGCGAACAGCGGTGCAAGCGAAACGGAATCCCTGCTGACCCACTCGGCTCCCTCCTGCTGTATCCCTTGCGGACTGTGCAATCGATGAAGGTGCTCCACCGAAGGTCCTCCGATTCCGCTCCTTCCAAGTCTCCCATGAGATAAGCAGCACCAAAGAATCAAATCCTTTCTAACCCCTCGATGATATCTCCTCCTCGATGCCAGCCACCAGTTCACCAAATCAAGATCACCGCTTGGGCAGAGGAACTGAACCCAACCCTTTGGAGCAATCGATGCCACAGCTCTATGGTGAACACACAAGCAAATGTAATGATGATCAGCCGCTTGGCTCTCTCGTGAACACAAAGACGCAGCCGTCGCTTGCTTGCAGCCCATGGCGCTGCCTCCTCGCCGCTGTCCGTAGTCGCTCGTGGAGAGCGAGCCAAAAGAAAATTTTGACCTTTGGTGGCGTGGCGCGTGCGCCCAGCTCGGCTGCCCCAAGCATTTGGACACGTCCATGGAAGAAGGCGCGATACGCCAAGAACCGGAGGAGTATAGGCCATCGACCGTCGTGTTCCGACCAACTTGTCGGGGACGCCCTGCTGTAGTCGGGTGCCATCCACCATTTCCCACACCCGTAGGAATTGGGTGATGAATGTGGCCGACGTCGCACCGGAGACATCTCTCGTCCACTGCCTGTTGGCTAGAGCGTCGCGGACGTAGTGGCGACGTCGTCGGCTGGGCACAGACGTGAACACAACCGGTGCCCAGTGACATTGGACTAGCAGGGAGCCAGTCATCGGTCCAGAATCTTGCGGTTGCTCCGTCGCCCGTGATGATTGAGGTGGTGGCGTTGAACATGTGGGTGACGTAGTGCTCGCCGCGTCGCCGCAACAACGCCCAAGCCGAAGTCTCTGGCGCGTCGTCGTCGTAGCCACTCCCATCTCAATCTGAGAGCGTAGCCGAGTATCCTGAGGTCCGGCTGTCCGAGGCCACCATGGTCCCTGGGAGCACATACCACAGTCCAGGCGACTTTACATTTCCCACCGGTGACCGTAGTGCTCCCTGCCCATATGAAAGCTCGCCTGCACTTGTCAATGGCAGCGATTGCCCATGCCGACAAGGTGCAGCAAAAATAGCGACATGGATCGGGATTGTCGATAGCGCCGTCTTTGTCGGTAACAGAGCCCCGCCCGCCGCATTGAGCAGCCCCGCCTTCCATGTGGGGATGCGCGCCATGACGCCAAATCAACGACGGCCCGCTCGCCCCTGACGCTTTAGCCGGAAAAGTGATAGAGGTGTTCCAAGGTATTTAGTCGGAAATCTCGTAGCCTTCCCGGAAGCATTGCTGCACCACCGGATCTCCGCCACCGAGCAAAGCAGATCACCGAATAACCCCGATTTCCGCCAAGGAAATCCACAGTAGTCAAGTGTAATAAGACCGTGAGATCATATTACCCAGATTCCAATCGAATATCACATCCATACAACGATAATATCGTAGTACAAATAGTGCGAAGTACATAGATTATTACATCGCCGCATTGGCGGAATCAAAAGTAGCATTCATTCGTAAAACAACTTGAAGATAGGATCGCCAAACTCGAGCGTAGAAACGAACCCTCAATCACAAACTCCTCGGAGCTATACTCCTCAAAGTTGAGAACTCATGGTGCCAAAATTTATCAAGACGATTTGTATCGCCACTCCCAACCCTATGAGCATTTCTTTGTGGAAATTGGATGCAAATTGGGTATAATCAAAAGGAACCTATAAGGCTGAGGTTTCCTATGCATTAGTAAATCAAGTATATAATAATAGTTGGTCAAGTTTTAACTCCATTCACACACCCATTTCACCCCATTCCCATTTCAGAGCTGTGTTTCGGTCCTGGGACCGATAAACCACCATCTCCACACTATCACCATACCACAGGCATACCATCGCTCGATCGACAGGCCAACTCCCTCTCGGTACTGTCTCAAGGCCCGTAGCCCCTGGCTACGTCCGAACACTCACTCCCAGGGGAGAAAAGAAGGACTCATCTCACTATCTAGTTTAAGCGAAACCCAGGAAAGGTCCATAGCCGACAAGTCGACATATGTATCGATCGATCAACCATACACTCTGCAGAGGTTTTACATAACCACAAGATTCGCCTTCCTCACGACCGTCAACTCAAGCTGATTCCACCGCTTGCTAGCCTAGGATAATGCCACTCTACCATTCAGCCCTGTACACCCCAAGTCCGGTCTAGGGTGGTGGAAACTTGAGTCATGAGCCGGGTCCACAAGGTCTCCATGAAGTCTCGAATGGTGTGGGGAATCCTCCACACCCGCACCTCCCTCACACTGTCTCGCTATCTACCTAGCAGTAGTGGCAATATCCTACCAAGTAGTCCGGCCGTCCCGCACCATATAGGGCGAGTGGTACGTAAGGCTTTCCGGTGAGTATGAGTACTAGTAAGTCCTTAGGGATGACCAAGCCAGAATGTCTTCATTAGGGTTTCCATTTACCGTGCCACCATAGCACCTCCACCCTGGGCTCCTCCCATCACAGGATCACACCCAAGGCCACCTCATATACCATTTACCCACCACAGGTATCCATTCCAGGGGTGCCTAGGTAGCACCCCACGGCAAGACTTGCCCTAGGCTCGTCGTATACTCCAACTTGGTCGACACAACCCTCACCCTCCACGCACCCAAGTCACACACGCAGCACTCTCCCCATGGTCCAGATAACACCAGTTTCCACCACGCATCAATGTAGTGCAAGCGTAGTAGAAGTAATAAGCGATGAAATGTAATAGCAAGCGCGTGTGACTAGCCTATCGGCCAGGGGTGAGCAGGGGTAAGGTTGCGTCAAGGTAAAGGCCATCAAGAAGACATACTACCATGCAAGTCCTACCATAATGTGATCATGACAATAAAGTAAGTACTAGCATTTCTATATTAGCCATGCGTAATAGGTGCTACGAGATTGGGTGGGATGTGGCACCTTCAGTGTAGTCGTCTCCGTACTCCTCATGGTACTCTCGGTCCTCGTCCGTCCGGTTCTCCTCCGAGTCCATAAACGATCGCATTATAGTCGCGTTAGCGACGTCTATAGAATAGCACAAAGAAGCAATAAAAATTCAAAAGAACCAAATGCACTTAAGCATGGGTCCATTGCGTAGAGCTCGATTTTAGATGAATTTTGGTCCTGGTTTCGTATTTTTTCGAGGTCGTATGAATTAGTTATGAATTTCCGAAGATTTAATCCATTTCTGAAAATGGAAAGGGTGAATTAATCTGGTGGTCGACACGTGTCATCATCAGGGTTGGTCCACGTGGCTTGCTGACGTCAGCATGATGTCACCTCGGCCGAGCTGCTACTGACAAGTGGGTCCCGCGTGATGTCAGCACGACGTCAGTATGACGTCAGCATCTGACGTGTGGGTCCAGTGTGTTTGTGCCACTGACATGTGGGACCAGGTCAACAGTCATGGTTGACCAGTCAATGGTCAATACGGGTCGGGTCTCAAACTGGCCTGGATAGGGCTGGATTTGGGCCGGGCTGACCCGGACACGTGGCGTGCTGTGGCGCTGCCACGTCACGGCCTTGGGCCTCCACTGGGCTGTGGTCGTCAGCTGTGGGTGTGAGCGTGGCTCACGGTGGACCAAGAGGCGCTGGTCCATGGACCTAAGGCAGGGTCCCTGGTGGACCAAGTCCACCGTTATTTTCCTCGGCTCGGCTCTTGTGCACCGGGTGCAAGGTCATACTGCTCAACTCGCCCCTCCTCCTCTGCTTTCTTCCACGGCAGCGCTCCCGCCGGGCGA